GGGCACGGCCTTCCAGGCTTGCACTCGGCCTCAGCCCTCGGAGGTGCTAGAGATGCTCCGGGTTGCAGGGCCGCGGGCAGGGGGTTTGTTTCAGACCTCTGGAGCCAGAACCCAGACTGTGCATCAGAGACAGAGGGCTCAGCCCAGCCCGACTCCGAAGCACTTGGGAGCTGCCCCTCTTGTGCCGAGGGGAACAGCGGCCCAGCCTGTTGTCTCGGCGCTGTTCTGCAGGCCCCAGACTAAGGCTCTTTTCAGGCCTCGGCATGCCGCCAGCTTGCCCCCCTTCCCCCCTTTCTACCTGTAACACTGGCGTCCCTGTTCCTTCCCAGCCTCGGCGGGGAGGGCAGGGCCTGCTGCACTGTGTCAGCTCTCGGGGCCTGGGAATTGCTAGCGCAGGCATAGAGAGAGCCATTGTCCCTCCGTAGCCTCCTCTTCGCCGTCGCTGTGGGAGAGCAGAGCTGGTTTTCCTCCCGTGGCGGTGCTGAGGGGGCCGGTGGGGTAACGGGCGCAGTGGCGCTGAACGGAGCCGGCCGGCTTTCGGTCTCCGTCAGCCTGAAGGGAGACGTGGCCCTCAAGTGTAGCAACCGGGCCCTGCCCTTCACATCCAGCTTCTGCAAAAGCCAACGGCATTTCTGCTCCCTCTTCCCGGCGAGAGGGGTGCTGCCATCGACCAGGGTTACTGAACGTGGGCCGTACAGCCTGCGGTGATGCTCTGCAGCGGGAGAGATGGCAGGGGTGGAAGTGTCAAACTGCCGTTTCTGCGGGGCAGAGCAAGGGGCTTGTAAGAAGTAAGCGCAGAAACCAACCCCCAGCTGTTTGCACTTCTCCCCGGGCTGGGAATTTCTGCATCCTTTAAGTCACAGAAGGGAGATTTCAGGGTGAAACACAGCCTCGGCTTACGTCAGGTTGTTGGACTCTGGGGGTCTGGCCACAGGAACCGAGGATAAGAAAAGCCCCTGGGGTCTCTCCCGAGGGGACGAGAGGTTGGTGGGGCGGGCTTGTTCGTGAAGTGGCAGGGGACTTTCTTGCTTTTAAGGCTCTAAGTTTGTAAGTCTCCAAGTTTCATGTGAGGGCTACCAGAAGTCACAGCCGTATTATATTGCGGCCAGGTACACCCCTAAACAGGGCCTAAATTCCTTTGACTCACTGTTTTTTGTGGGAGGTGGGATTAACATCTCTGGCCCTTTTGGTCACAGGAGCTCAGAGCTTCTTTTGTGTAGCCAGCCCCACAGCACCTTCACCTGGCCCTCAAGGCAGTCGGGAGGCTTTCTCTTCCAGGGAAACCAGGATGGGGATGGAGCGTGGACCAAGGAAACCTCCTACCCTGATGCGGGAAGCCGCAGCTTGCTGTGCGAGGGGAGGATGCAGGTGGCCTTGGGTGTAGGAACGCCTTGCCTGCTTGCTGTTGTGTACGTGGTGCTTTGTTCTTTGTGTGGCCCCTGAACATCACGGGTTTACCTCTGTGAGGGAGGGGACAGTGGAGGGAAGAACTCTGGGGAGTATTAAGGCTGTTTTCAACCTGACCAGGTCACCACCTAGGGCTGTAGCTGAAGAATATCAGCTCTGCCTTCTCGGATAGTCCTGGTAAAATCCCAACCAGCCAGCGGGTAGGAAAGTTCCTTCCCAGCCTTGCTCTCGTCTTGCCAGGCGGGCGAGCCCTGGTGATTTCCTGTGAGCTGTGGGGAATGCCTTGGCACGCTCCCTCCCAGGGCTGCCTGGGGAGGTGGGGGAGGGCGGCAGCCTGAGCCCTCCCCGGCTCTCCTCCACTCACCTGGTGCAGCCGGAGGGGAACCTCTGGACCTTTTGCTCTCAGAGGAAGGCTGCTCTGGCCATAGGCTGGAAACACGAGCTGCTGGGTAGGAGCATTTCCATTCGGTGACCTTTTCTTCTTCCACCCAGGAGCTGCACTACAGTTTAACCTAAAAAGGTGAGGTGGGAGGTGCTCCTTGCATTTGGAGTAAGGGTGTTGTGAAAACCAGATGGTTACAAGAGTGTTCAAAGGTCCTCTCTCATCTTGGACGTCCAAGTTTCTGAGTCCATGTGTTCCTAAACCAGAGCAAACACCCTTAACGGAAGGAAACATGAATATCTGGCATGTGCTCTTCAACTCCAGAGGGCTCTTCCTCCTCCACATGCTGCCGTCATCGCTGTTGTCGCTGGGGTGGGATCTGGGTGCTGCCTGCTGGTGGGGAGCAGGCCGGGTGGCTGCAGGAATACAGAGCAGAGCTGGCCATGTACCAGTAGCCCACCACCTGCCTCTTCCTCTCTCCGCAGATTTTGCCTTCCCCTGGTGCTGGCTTCCCTCCCTGCGATGGCTACCGGCGAAGAGATCGCCCCTGCCCTGCAGGACTCATGGGGGGACTTCTGGCTCTTCCGTTTCTTTGTTAATGCTGCTGGCTATGCGAGTATCGTGGTGCCGGGATTCCTCCTCATCCAGTACTTCAAGAGAAGGAATTACCTGGAGACAGGTAGGGGCAGGAGCCTTCCCTTCCACATCCTGCCTCCCTGTGAACTCTCTGCACCCCCTCAGTCAACCCTGTTCAGCGCTGACAGGTTGTTTCCCCAGCCTGCTTTGTCAGACCAGGCTTGAGCCGCTCGCAGAGCTGCATCCCAGAGCTGTCTGGGATGGGATGCATCCCATCCCTCAAATTACTCCTAGCCCTGGCACCAGCAGATTTGGAGGCTAGTAAGGAGGGATGCTTCACCTCTCAAGCTGGCGTGGCTTACGGTGCCTAGGCTATGATTAATTCTGTCTCCGTCTTCTCTTACCCCATTCAGGCCGAGGCATTTGCTTCCCTGTGATCAAATCATGTGTGTTCGGCTCCGAAGTGAAGTCGGTACACCAGGAGGATGGTTCCCTGCCACCCCGAGCGGAGCCCACAGAGTCCTCTACAGCCCGACAGGTCTTCAAGCTGCTCTTCTGCGCTGCTGGTCTGCAGGTGGGGGCCCTGTGTGCATGGCCGCGGCGCTCTGGGGGGAGGAGGTGGGCAGCAGGGTTGTGGCCGTCAGTTCCTTGAAGACCAAGGATGCAGGGGATACCGGGACACAGCCCCCTTGAACAGGGCAGGGTCTTGGTCAGGGACACAGCCTGTCGACCAGGATAGTGCACCAGAGCTGCTAAGGGCTGTGGAGGTCCATTTAGCTGGTGTCACCTGGGTTGGGACCTCCTGTTCCCCTGATCGCAGTCCTCTGCAGCCACGGACAGGGAAGATTCTGTGATTCAGCAGATTGTTGGAGCTGCTCTCGTTCTGGCCCCTCATGTCAGAGCAGCAGATCATTTGAGCCCTTTTATCTCCCGGGCTCTCCTCTGGGTCACCCTCTGGTGCTGACGCATCCTGCCTTGACGGAGTGGATTCGCATACTGGAGGTCTGTGTTACTTCTTGGGGGTTGGTACTGTTGCACCAGAAGTAGCGGAGGTGACAGCCAGAAGAGTGATCATCCCTGGAGGACAATTCTGTCTGCTGGGTTTGAAACTAGAGTTAATTTGGATGGAAGAATAGGGCCTAGAGAGCTGGAAGTGAAAACCAATGCGGAGGCCACTGGGAAATCTGCCAGGACCTGCTGCAGGGAGCTGGCACCAAAACCGCAGCTGTGCATCGGTAACATTCCCCGATCCTGCCGGTCTGGTTCGGCAGGCCGTTTACAGCACAGCCGCTCGCTGTACCATAGGATGTTTGCTTTGCCGTCTCCTTTCCCCTTGAAGCTGTAAACTGGGCAGGTTTTGTTTGGAATGGGATGTTCCCGGTTGTAACTGTGTGGGGCACACTCAGACGGGTGGAGTGGGGGCAGCCCCATCGCCCGCTGTCTCAGGGAAGCATTGCCGTGCAGAGGGTGAGGCAACGCTGGGACAAGCAAGGATATCCTGGGCTCTCTTCTTCCCGTGGTTGCTTCCAGCTCCCCTTGCGGGTCCTGACTCTCCCTGTGCTCCTGCTCTGCAGGCCTCCTACCTCACGTGGGGCGTCCTCCAGGAGCGTGTGATGACGAGAACATATGGTGCCACCGAAACGGACCTTGGAGAGAAGTTCAAGGACTCCCAGTTCCTCGTGTTCATGAACCGCATCCTGGCCTTCACGGTGGCTGGCCTGTACTGCGCCCTGACCAAGCAGCCGCGCCAAGGAGCTCCCATGTACAAGTACTCCTTTGCCTCCCTCTCCAACATCCTCAGCAGCTGGTGCCAGTACGAGGCACTCAAATACATCAGCTTCCCCACCCAGGTGCTGGCCAAGGCCTCCAAAGTGATCCCGGTGATGATGATGGGCAAACTGGTGTCGCGCAAGAGTTACGAGTACTGGGAGTACCTGACTGCTGCCCTCATCTCTGTGGGGGTCAGCATGTTCCTGCTCTCCAGTGCTCCCAACAAGCACACGTCCACTGTCACCACTTTCTCAGGCGTTGTCCTCCTGGCCGGCTACATAATCTTCGACAGCTTCACCTCCAACTGGCAGGACGCCCTCTTCACCTACAAGATGTCTCCCGTGCAGATGATGTTTGGCGTCAACGTCTTCTCCTGCCTTTTCACGGTGGGCTCGCTCTTGGAGCAGGGTGCCTTGCTGGAGTCGGTACGCTTCATGGCCCGGCACTCGGAGTTCACTGCCCATGCCGTGCTGCTCTCGGTGTGCTCTGCCTGCGGCCAGCTCTTCATCTTCTACACCATCAACCAGTTCGGGGCAGCCGTCTTCACCATCATTATGACGCTCCGCCAGGCCTTTGCCATCCTCCTCTCCTGCCTCATCTACGGGCACACCGTCACTGTCGTGGGGGGGCTGGGCGTAGCCGTTGTCTTCACGGCCCTCTTCCTCCGCGTCTACGCCCGCAGCCGCATGAAGAAGCGGAGCAAGAAGCTCCCACCAGGCGAGAGTCCTGTACAAAAGGTCTAAGGAGCTGGGGCGGTGGCATTTAAGCCGTGCCTGCTGTCCTGCCTCTGCTCAGGGGTACTTGCTTCCTTTCTCAGAACCCACTGAGGAGCAGCGTGGGCTATGGATAGGGTGGACCAGTGACTCACTTTTCCACCTGCTTTTCCTGGGGAAGGAGCTGGAACAAGCCCAGGGATGCTCTGGGCTACCACAGCTCCAAACCTTTCCATTTGCCTTAATAGGTCAAAGACTTCCAGCCAAGACGTGGGCCTGGGGGGGCTCACAGCCTGGGGGAGAACCAGCGTGGGGCTGCTGGTACTCCTGCCCCATCGGTCTTGTGGCTTCTCTCCACAGTCACTGATGGATAAGGGAGCTCTTTTTCCCTGGCACCGTCTTGCCTCTGGCTAATGCTCCTCTGTTTCTGTCACTACTACAGAGCTCAGCAGGAGGAAAGGGCAAGCAAAACACTAGCTTTCTTTTGGAAACACTTCCATGGGAGGCAAGTCCCAGGGTGAGCCTGTCCCAAGGGAGAGGAGGGGGCAGAACTCAGCCTCTCTCCCAGGAGGTGCACCAGGTAGGACAGGCACAGCTAAGGGAAGGACTCCAGCCTGTCCTGCCTCAGTCCTGGGATCTCCTTTGGGAGGGCACACTGCAGTGGAAGCTGGTACCTCCCAGTTTGATTTTTATCAGTTCCTTGCCCCTGCTCAGAGACTTTTCTTTGCTCCCTTCGGCCCAGGCTGATTGTACGCAGAGTGAGGCTGCCGGTACGGTTCCCAAGGCTTGCCGAGTTGTTCTAGGTCGCTTTTTGGTTACATCCACTGCTGTCACAGGCCAAAGGCTGCGCTGCCCAGAAGCCCCAGCACCGCCCTGGGGTGCCTCAGTGCCACAGTTTCTGGGCTTTGTAGTTGCTATTCAGAGAAGCACAAATAGTCCCTCTTCTTCCCAGCAACTGGAGGCATCGGCCCCGGCTTGCCTGGGGCCTGGCCAGAGCCCCACTGTGCCTGGAGGGCTGCAGTGGGGCAGAGCCCACTTGTGGTGCCTTGTTCCTGCTCCACAGGCAGCAGGGGATGGAGCGAGTGGGCATCTGCTCCCCAGGCAGCAGGGGAACAGAGCAGTGGAAGCTGCTCTTCCCCAAGTGTCTGGGTTTTACTGGTCAACTCTTTTCTCCTCAACACAACCTGACTGCCAAGCCAGCAGGTTTTGGTACTTTTGAAAGCAACATTTTTCTCTTTTTATTTTATTAAATTAAAAATATGCTGCATATTGTGCCCTGGGGGTGTTTTGTTGTTTTTTGGTTTTTTTTCCCCCGTGTACCTGGAAGGAGGGGAGAGGCTTCCCAACCTTTCCTGTGGTGAGGTCTGGGGTCAGAGACAGGGCACCCTGGCCTACCAGAGCTAGAGAAAAGGGAGTCACTCCGTGAGGAGGAGAGAAGGGACAGGAGCTGCTGAGTTAGCTGAGGCAGCAGGCAGAAAGAGCTGGTGCTGAGCACAGCCCAAGGCTGCAGAGCACTTGGCTCGCCAGTTTTACCTGTGCTCCTTTCCTAGCTCTGAGCTCCTCATCCTGCCTCTACACATTCCTACCCCCAGCACCTCCTGACAAGACTGAAAACAGGAAGGTTGTGGGGTTTTTTTTCCCTTATTGATGGGGGAAAAAAAAAAAAAGGTTGTCTGCCAGGTTGGGAATGGAATCCCTTGTTCTTTAAATCTACATTTAAATTACAAAGAAAACGAACAAAAAGAAAAAATTTAAAACATGAAGTTAAAAGAATTGACTTTATAGTGATGTGTTATTTGGCAAAACCTTCCCAATCCAGAGAGAAACCTTACTTTTAAAGAGTGTTTTTCTCCTGTCTCAGGAAAGAAAACTGCCCCGAAGGCATTTGCTAGCTCAGCTCCAGCACTGCCCTAGCAGCCCGCGCCGAAAGAGCGGCAGGGAGGGGGACCCCAGCGGGCTCTGCCTCATCCTCCCCCCTGCTGCGGGCGGGTGCTGGCTGAAGCCCACTGGTTTGTGCCTGTGGTCGCTGGCAGGCAGCCAGCACAAGAGAACGTGGTGTCAGTGTCACTCCTGCCTGCCAAACCCCAAGGGCCACTGCAGTCCAGGGTGACAAAACCCACTCACGGGGTGTGAGGGGCAGGTGAAGCAGGGGTGATGCCCCAGGCCTCTCCATCATCCGGGAGGAGGCAAGGTACTGCCAACCTCCCCAGGGCTGCAGAAAAAGCGCAGGCTGGAGGTGGGAGGGAAGGTCTGGAGCAGAGTAGTTTGGCCTAAGAGCTGAAGAGCAGTGGCTGAGTGCAGCCCGGAGCTGCTACTGCACCGCCAGCACTGCAAGGGAGCAGGCAGATGGCTCCTGCCACAGCCCCTGCCCACCAGGACGCTTGGATCACAGCAGCCGGCAGCAGTGCCGGCTCAGGTCCTGGCACAGCTTGCCCAGCTGACACTGCAGATCCAAAGGTTTGCTCCAGGCTGCGGGGCATGCCATGCTGTGGGTGGGGAGCTGCTGCAGACACCCCCACCTGCACAGCAGCTTGTGTTCCTCCTCCCCACTTCACAGTGGGCTAAAGCAGAGCTCTGAAAACCAGTCAGGGCAGGGGAGAGAGCAGCTGCCCCATACCCTCAGACACAGGGCGAGACCCCTTGTATGGCAGGCATGAAACACAGGGGACCCCTCCATTTAAACCACATTCTTTGATATTTTAATTCCAACAGAACAGAATAATAAACAAGCCAACCAAAATACAATATCCAACCCTGGGGGTTTGGGGAGGCAGCAGCTCAGAGGAAGGGCTCTCCCAGACCAGTGGAACAAGGACAGTGTGTGGTACTTACTGGGAACATGGGAGACCCAGCAATGGGGTGAGAGGGGAAGCCTGATGCCTCCACACCTCCACCATCCAACAGCTGTCCCTACACATGCAGAAAGACATGGAACAGAGAGCCCTCGGACTGCCTGAATCACTCACTACTGACAAACAGGGAATCACGCCCTCCTGCACCCTGCCAAAAACAACCCCAACCGAGCAAATCCAAAACCAGACCCCACCAAGAGGTCAGCAGCTGCTGATGGGAGCAGTCGTGATATGGGACAGGCCTGGCAGGTGAGGTAACTCCTCCTACTTTAGTCTACCTCTTCCATGCGGGATGCATCTTCATCTCCCTCCAGAGCGGGGATTTCATCAGGGACAGCTGCACTGGGCTCCTCTGCAGTCACCTCATCTTCATCAATGCCTGGGAGAGGGGAGGAAAGGAGGAGATAAGCCTTTCCAAGTGGCACCTGACCCAGAGGTACAGCTTCTCCCAGAGCCAAGGCTGGATCCTGGCCACAGCCTGAGGGACAGGACTGACTATTCGCATCCAGCAGTTACCCCAAGCCACACACCTCCCAGTTTGCATTTTTAGCTAAATAGACAATTTGGAGAGAAAAATTGGGTGCAAGCACAAGCTGTTTCACCAGGCAGCTCACATCTCCTGTGACAGGCTTTCAACATTCACTCTGGGGAAATACAAACGCCTCAGCCTGTCACCTGAGCAACCCAGTGGTGGCTCCTGGCCTTGTGGAGGACAGGTTGGTCCACTCAGAGCCCTGAGCCCTCCCAGAGTACCTTGTTCCAGGTTTCCACTTGCCCCTAGCCACCTCACGCCGGCGTGGCTCACTCACTGGCCTCCCCCAGGACAGTTACACGCTAGCCTGACCAGCTGACCTGACCGCAGGACCCGTTCCGGGCCTGAGAAGCCAGGCAGACACCTACCGAGCCCCAGTTTGATCATCCTGTAGATGCGGTTGGAGTGGGTCTGGGGATCTTCCAGGGAGAAGCCAGAGGAGAGCAGAGCAGTCTCGAAGAGCAGCACCACCAGATCCTTGACAGCCTTGTCATTCTTGTCAGCATCAGCCTTCTGACGGAGTGTTTCCACAATGGGGTGGTCAGGGTTGATCTCCAGGTGCTTCTTGGCCATCATATAGCCCATCGTGGAGTTGTCCCGCAGCGCCTGAGCCTTCATGATGCGCTCCATGTTGGCCGTCCAACCGTAGGTGCTGGTGACGATGCAGCAGGGAGATGAGACCAACCGGTTTGAGATCGTTACCTGCCAACGTAGCCAAGAGTTAGCCAAGCAAGGTCCCCATGCGCTCCGGACCAGGCCCAGCCACAGCACACAACACCCCAGGTTCACCTGGGGACACCCCAAAGCAAGCAGAGATCCTCCAAGCAGCTCCAGGCCTGCTGCACAGACGAGTTTGGACAGCTCAGCCAGCACCTTCAGCACCCACGGCACGTTTCTCACACTTACCTTCTCCCATCAACGGCCGTATTTGGGTCAGTGCCCCTCACCTGCAGCCTGGCTGCTTAGAGCAAGGTGGTGCATGCTGGGACCTCCAGTCTCCTTTAGCGGCTCCTCTGCAGGAGATGAGAGGCATGCATTGAGCCGGGGCCCTTGCCTGCATCACGGGAGGGCCCAGCCCTCCTCCCTCCAGCCCAGGGCCGAGCTGCTCCCTGCCCACCTCACCTTCTCCACCTTCTTGTCCAGGATCTCCTTCATCAGTTTGCAGAGGGTCTCAAACTTGGCCTTGCTCTCCTCCATCTTCTTTTTCTCCTCCTCATCCTCAGGCAGCTCCAGACCCTCTTTGGTGACCGATACCAGGGTCTTGCCATCAAACTCCTTGAGCTGCTGCACGCAGTACTCGTCAATGGGCTCTGTCATGTACACCACCTCAAAGCCACGCTTCCGCACACGCTCCACAAAGGCTGAGTTGGCAACCTGCTCCTTACTTTCTCCTGTGTTGGGGGGGGAGGGGGAAGAAATGAGATGTCAACAAGACGTAGGAGCTGGTTACAGCAGCACAAGCAACACTCAGAACCCCTAGCATAAAACAGGCTGCAGCCAGGGTTCTAGGCCTGATGGTCTTTCCCCAACACCCACGGATGGTCTGCAATTCAGGAGAGGGTCTACTGAAGGCAGCAGCACCCACCTTTTAAGTTAGAGCTGGCAGGCAGGTGACCTGCCTCCACCTCACTCGGGCATGGAGCAGCTCTGGCTCACCTGTGATGTAGTAGATACTCTTCTGGGTCTCCTTCATACGGGACACGTACTCTGAAAGCGAGGTCATCTCGTCACCTGACTGGGATGTGTGGTAACGCAGCAGCTCCGAAAGGCGCTTGCGGTTGGTTGAGTCCTCGTGAATGCCCAGCTGGGGACAGAAAAGATGCATGAAGTCACCAGGATGGGACCTGCATGCGCTTGCCCACCCCTGAGGCACCGCCGTTTCTGCCCACCCCCCCGATGGTTTGGCCTAGGGCAGCCAGAGGGGCCAACCAACACCCCCTCCACCCTAACACCCATGCAGAGAAGACGCAGCACAGGGAAAAGATCACTCCTCAGGCAGATGGATCATTGGTCCCTCCCTCCTCCAGATGCAGGGTGCCCAGCTCACCTTCA